AGAAGTCACACCTTAACCACAATTGTTCTGAAAAATAAACACTAGGAAGCACCTATGGTCATCTTCAGACTTGTGACCAACTATAAAGCTGTGTGGATAAGGAGGCAAGAGAATTCAGAGACATAAAGTAATACAACACAGAATCCCGGTAAGGCATCCCAATGAACAGGCAGTCCAAATGTTTTGTTCATTCATGAGCTAGGATCACTTAGTTTTTGAGAGAGAAGTTTTTTACCAAATTCTGCTTTAAAAACAAATTCACTATATACATAGACAGGAATCAACATCCACAACCCACTTTCACATGTACCCTTTAAACAGGATTGAAGTTATTCAAGTTTCAGTGTTCTTCCTTTGTTATTACTTAGTAGAAACTCCCTGGCACAGTAAAGTATCTTGTGCAACACCATGGGACAGTAATCATGTGGAGATTACCAAGAAGGGACATACAGGTTAGGGTTACAGTGAAAGGTAGTTGATATGGGGCACATTTAGGGATAGGGGCTAAATCTAAGGAAAGTGATAAAAGGTTTGGTGCCACAGGAGAAGAGTCTGATCTGGGTGAAATGCTGATATATGTTGGACTATCCCTCGGTGAGGGAAGCAATTCCTTTCTTATAAGAAGCTAAACTGAAGCCCATATAGACAGGCCTTTTTAGTCTCAGTCTCTTGAATAAGACATGCTAAAGGCATAATTTTAAACCACTTTGAAACAAAATGGCATCCCTCTGGTCCCTTTAGCTTTTTACTCTGAAACCCTCCAACAACAAAGAAGGTACACAGTAATAGAGATCTGGGTCCATGGCTATGCCCAGGGCATAGCTGCCTGTGATTTAATGAGGCGGCAGAAAGACTAGCAAACAGCTTGTTTATGCAGAGTAGATGTTGTAGGGGGTGTACCCCAGCAGGAACTCTCCAACTCCTACAAAGTACACAACCTGGGCAATGCCAAAGAGTGGGGCAATGACCAAGGCCCGGCAACTGGCCCCCTTGAGGAACGCTCCAGGACCCTCCTTTCTCATGATCTTTCTGCAATGGAAGAGAGAAAGCAAGGTTAGCATCGAACTAGTGCCGTTCATACAAAACAAGCATGTTTGATGATTGTATGACTAATTTACCTGACACAGTCCACCACTCCATTGTAGGTTTCCTCATTAGCTCCTTTTTTGAGTGATTGTAGCCTTGTCTTAACCACTGCACAAGACATACAAAACTTATTTTATTGATAATTTATCAAAATCTGTGAAACAACCAAAGGTTTCAGTTCAAAATAAAACTGATGTCCAGTTCACAGTCCCCCAAACATTTACTAGTTATCTGCATAGACTGAATCACTCACCGTCACAAGGGCTGACAGTCACAGCAGCAATGCATCCAGCCAAGCAGCCAGACATGAAGGACCAATAGAAGGGTACAGATGGGTCTTCAGGAGAACGCTGGCCGAGCTGGTGCAGATGCGCAAAAAGAGGGAAGTACACAACAGAGAACGGGATGTCCCTGAAAAGGCAACAAACAAGCAGATTCACCACAGTCAAGGCCGTTGACCAAAGATGGAAAACCATTCAAGCAAGAGCAAGAATTGCATCCCAGCTCACCTCATCAACGTGGCTCCGAGTCCCCTGTATAGTCCTGTGACTCCTTTTGTTCTCAGCAGCTCTCTGGTGATCTGTGTGGCGGACACTCGCATGACTTGAGGTGCATTGCTGGTGTTGTAGGAACGGCTAAGAACGGCACTGGTCCCTCCCATCTTCAGAGTCGTTACTACACTAGGCATCACCCTCTGCTGGGCCGCTGGAAGATACAGGAAACATATTTTAACCATTTTTAATCAGGACAAGTAACATCCCAAACCATTATTTGAGGCAGATTCCTTTGTAATTACCTAGCCTTCCAGCATCCTGCAGCTGGATCTTAAGCATTTCCATGGGTGTGGTGACAATGACCTGGCACATTCCTGCACAGCATCCTGCCAACATCTCCTTGAACACTGTCAACCTGCTACTCAAGACACAGACACATGGACAGGGTTAAAATCCAAGAATAACATTGGGGTGCAGGAGTCTTTTTCAGCGCTACTACTCACCCATCTTTGCTCAACTGGTGGCGGAAGAAGTCATTAGCAGCTAGTTTGATGGCCTTCTCAGGGGTTACCAGTGTGAGATTTACTGCAGCACCTGCAATAACAAGCATTGCTCATGACAAACTAAATTCTAATGACATATCAATCACACATTCAGTAGTTTGAAAGGCATTTTTGCATAGCAGGTATAACCTAAATAAACTAAAAATAAAAAAAAATCCCTATTTATTAATAAAGTAGAGCTATAACAAATCTAAAATCGAAAAGCTTCTTTTTTTGGGCGATTTGGTTTAGGCCAAACTTTTTGGTCGGACAATCAAAGTGGGCCTATATCACATATCTCAAATACTTTTATATGATAACTTTGATATTATATTCGAGAAAACTTATATTAAAAGAGGTCAGTATTGATGGTGTGATCAGTCTTACCTCTATACATGCCAAAGTAGCCTTCAGATTTAACTGTTTTTATTAGGCAATCCATCCTGAAGGGAATCAAAAAGAAATTGATTAGTTACAATACAATACAACCAGGGCTTGGAAATGAAAACTTGTGATTGTGACTTGTGAAATACTGTCTTCTATCTCCAAATAAATTTGAGCATTTTCACAAAAAAGGAATACTGTCAAACTTGAGATCACCAGCCTTTACTGAACTCAGTTTTATCAAACTTAACAAACTGAAATAAATCTAAACTGTCACTGAGTCTCTAAGCACAGAGAGACACCTCGTTGTAAGGGTGTACATAAATAGAAAGAAAAAGAACTTGTACGGTGAAAAAGTGCTTTAAATTATTATCCATTTAATTAAGTTAACAACTGCAAATCAAGAGGATGTCAGATTTTTGGCAGTACATTTGGAAAGGGGGGTGGAGACAAACTGAACTTTTCTTCTGGCAGGTGTGGTTCTTACATGTTCTTGTAAAGTTGCTGCCCGCTGCGTTGGTTCTGCAGGCGGGTCTTGGCGAGGTCGATTGGGAACACACAGGTGACTCCTACCATACCTGCAATCCCTCCATTGATCAGTTTGGCTGGCAGGCTGTTCAACGACAAGTCAAAACGTGTGCATGACAATCATTCCTTTTCTATAAGTGGAGTAAGGTGGGGCACTATCAGGTGAGGTGACATAACACTCCGAAGCAGTATAAGGATTGGGCATCTAAAGCACAAGCTGACAGGCATTATATACATAGGAAAGTTAGTCATTATGCTTTTTAAAGTGAATGTGTCTACTGTGTGTGAGGCATAACCACTGCAACAGAGTATAGAGTAACTGCTTCTGCTAAATCTGGGAATCTAAAAATAACTTGTTGACAGAGTAAATCAAACAACATATGTGCGGGAGGCAATACACATCCTAAGACCTCTATGATTTGACTAGTTACATCTAAAAAAAACAACAGAAGGAAAACCTGAACTTCTATTAAACTTAAAAAAATCAAAGCATGCTTTGTTCCTATTTTGTTCTCTGAGCAGCCTACAAATGGAATCATGCTGGAATTTGTGGTGAATTGTCCTGAGCAGGTTCATACCTAATCTGTTGTTGCTGGGCCATGGTTCTTGGTTGTTGTGAGTGCAAAAGTTGGTCTGCACAAAGGAGGAGGCCGCAGAGGGAGAGCAGGCTGAGAGTCCCTGAGAGACACTGAGCAAGGCAAGAGTAGAAAGAAGCTCAGGGTTATATATATAGAGGAGAAGCCCAGCCTTGCAGATCCAGGGATAAATTCAACATTACTCTCCACCCACTGCACAGCCAGCCAGAAAATGGAGCCAAGGTCAGTCATCACGCTACCAAAATCAAACCACAATCCCAATAGCTTCTAAGGATGTACCTGCCTACTGTGCAAGGGAATTAGTTCCAATGGCAAACAGGTCCATGTCCAAAGATGCATAATCACAAAACTATACACAA